AAATTTTGAAGAGACATTTGAGGCACCTATTGGCTAAAGAGGGTGGTTATGACCACTAGGAACGAAAATATCATTAAAAAAACTTGTGAAAGGAGGCATCCCTCGCAGAATACATCAAATTTTGACACATTTTGAAGAATTTCCAAGGCACCTCTTAGGAAATTTGTAAAAGAAGGAAGTTGAGACAATTGAGATGGGTTCTTGAAGAGGAAGAGAGTGCTAAGCCCTGAGAAGATTGTGGAGAATCTTGTGGAGAGATTGAGGCACCACAAATTTATATTTGTCTTTTTGTTTTTAGTATTATTTTGAGAGCATAGAGTGTTGTAAAAGAGATGAGATTCAGAAGAACTATAAGAGTTTGGTGGAGGATTTGAGATAAGTTTTTATCTTTGTTATTAAACTGCTTTTGGTTTTAATCGAGACTTTTTGTTGATTTGACAATGATTTCTACTTTTAAACTAAAAAGTGGTTTTATTTTCTCCATGGATTTTGAGTAGTTTTTTTTTTATCTTTCTCCATAAAATGATAAGTAATTAATGTGTTGGATGAAAGTTGTGGAGAGTATTAATCTTTAATGTTGGAAGAAGTTGTGATGATTTAACTCCATGCACTTCATTTACTTCTTGATCTGGCCCATCTAGATGTTAAAATTTGTTGAGAGAACATGTAAGAACCGGGCTGTTATTGTCTCAGTCAACAGTTGGATAGAATCACATGAAGTTGTATGAATGAAAATGTAATTCATATGATTTAGTGCAAATAAATAGGGAAATAATCTTTGAAGGGTGTAGAGTTAGAGGACTGTAGAGTGATAGGTTAAAGCCCCCAACTTGATTTATTATTTTAGGTTCTAAAACGAGATGTTAGCCCCCAGATGGAGGGAATCGAAGGAACTCTAGAGTGAGAGCTGGTATCTCCTTATCTAGCCGGTCTTCAGAACTATTCAAACCTTAAATTAACCAATGTTCTTTATAAAATCTTTAGTAAGGGTAAAGAATATTATTGCTTCTTTTTTGCACAACACAATTTGCATACTTTCACAATAGAATTCCTATACTTATTGCTGATTCATGAAAAGGAGAAATATATTTTCATATTCAATGCTTTTCTTTTACATAAACTCAAGTTATTTAGAAGTTGTTACTATTTAGTCAAAATATCAAAAATATAAAAAAGATTTGAATTTTAATTACTGTCAAATTAACTATAGTTTAAGTAATTGTCTTTTTGAAATAGAAGATTGTTGTTCGAAAGTGCATATTGTTAATTTCCTCGTGAGATCGATATTCGGGGCTTAATTAAAAAGTCCTATATTGCTTTATAACGATACGTATACTTGCGTAGTATCCCAATATATATAAATTAAAAGTTAAATTTTAAATTCTTATTTTCTTCAGGATCAAGTTTTTGGTACTGCTGTAAAGTAAGGAAATATAAGTGAAAATATAATCACATACATTGTTATACTGTTGCATATAAACAATCGAGATCAGTTTTCCATTCTTTCTAATGGCTTTTTTGAACAATCCACCATTTATACCTTGTGTCGTCTCCTCCTTAAATTCTTTTGGGAGGGAACAATATGAGTTAAATCATGAGAAGCATAATTATTACCCATAACAGTCTCTAAAAACGATGGTTTGTTAGGTAATTCAACCATAACAGAAACAAGAATCAATAAACCAAGATGAAAACTATAAACAAGAACAAATACTGGAAGTAATAATATCTTCTTAAGTTTTGTCCATTCCAAATAAGAAATAAATGAGATACGAAGAAAATAAAACAACCAACAATGAAGAAATCCAAACCCTAAACAAACCGTTCAAGAAGGATTGAACACCAAACTAATAACACTTGGAAAACCCAATAGCCCTGCAAATATAAAGCCAAGATAATCTAAAGCCATAGTAAGCAAGAACGATTCACGACAAAAAAAAGGCGCCCGAGAATCAAAAGTAAAGAAAACCCCACACGAAACACATTAAATAGTAACTTAGCGAAAAACTTCAAGAGCAACAAAATCGATGAAGAATAGTAGAACAAACCAAAGTAGTGCATGAGGAGGAAGGTAAAATAGAAAGACTTCACCAAACACAGCCAAAAGCCTACGCCCAAGAACACAGGATGGCCAATTTCGCTTAGATGATCAGCGCACGATGTCACCAAGATGATCAATTGCTGAAGCGCTTGCTGGCAGGGAGCGCCAGTCAACGAGGAACCCCGGGCGAGAGGCTCCGACCGAGATGTCGACGTGAGGGAGCCAGAGCACAGGAACTTTTTTTCAGGTGAACTCTATTAAATTTTCTTTTTTTTTCTTTCTAGAATGCAAAATCTTCAACTAATAACAAAGTATTACACTTAACCAACTTAAAATAACTCGAAAGTATATATATATATATATATATATATAACACTGATTCAAAAAAATTTATACTAGTTGAAGTTCTTACATCTTTATTTTCTATTTATGAGGTCCCATGTTACCATGATTCATATTGGTCTCGCCGAAATTTTTTCAAAAAAAAAGCTTATGATAACTAATATGTGTTTAAATTTAAAAGTTAGTTTTAAATAAAATAAAAATATTTTATTTACGAGTAAGATTATTATTATTATTGGTTTTCTTGGATAAATGCGAGAGCTTTCGCTCCCAAATCTAGAAAAAATATCGCATCGGTGCGGAAAGAAATGCAAACGCCCCTCCCTCATGGAAGCTTCCCATCGGCAATTAGGAAGCTCACTGCGAAGCTATCCCTTCTCGCCTCAACCCAAAGCCTAAACTCATCTGCTTCGATCAGATTTCTACTATTATACATGTATATAAATAGCTGCTTTCCATCCATCATTTCGGCCACAATGGAATTGCTCGACAGTGGAGTTCTTGCCGCTGCCGTCGCCGTAACCAAAATCTCTCCTGCTGGAAACGCCGGCGGCGCTTTTCCCAGCGTCTATATGGAAGATAATGATTCTTCCTTCGACCTCTCTGAATACTTTCTAGCTGATGAAGATGCGCCACCCCCACATGCCCTGCCGGATCTCTCTGCAGCTGCTCCTACGGTCCATTCGTCTGAACAAAGTTTGTTTCCTCCGGCCGTGACAAAGGACAATAACAGGCAAGAAACATAACCTTTTTTCGAGAGTTATTTACCGGGTCTTACAATTATCTTGCTAGAATATGTTGTAATAGAAGCAAGGTTCTATATAATTGCTCGTAAGATCACTATTAAAAAAAATATCAGGATATCACATTAAATTTCTTAACCATGAGTTTTAAGATAATTAGATTTACTTTAAAATTAATGCAAGAAGTACCTATAACATATAATTCTACTATCAAAGCAAATTCGAAAATTATAAACCCATATTGGTACTTGAGTTAGAATATTTGGATAAAATTTATTTATCAATTTAATTAGATTGACTCAAAAGAAGTTTCATAAAGAAATAACGGGTAAACTATTTATATTGCGAAGGCAGTGCCAATATTATTTTTTCAAGTTGGGCTAAATCATCAAATGTATAATTTATTTTTGTTAATTATTGGGGAAAACATATATTGTGAAAGAAAAATTATAAAATTGCCTAAATTATACAGGAAAAAATATTAAATTTTATTATTTATAAAGAGAAATTTCAAATTTTAGAGCGTCAATTGACCACCATGTATATATACTGGTTAATATTGGTTGGAAATTTAGTTTCCCATCATGAAATTGTGGGTCAACATTCTAAAAAAAATTATATCCTCATTTTATAAAAGTGTACATTTGCTTAGTTTGCATAAATATTTACATAATTCGGAAGCCACGAAAATATTTACATAATTTACAATAAAGATTTGTGTTTAAGAAGGGATACGTTGCCCATATTGCCAAGGATGGAAGAAGGTTCTCGCATAGCATTCAGGATTCAGACAGACGTGGAGAATTTAGACGATGGCTATAAGTGGCGGAAGTACGGCAAGAAATCCGTAAAGAATAGCCGAAACCTAAGGTACGACCATAATCATCCCTCAAATTCCCACTGCACACTTTCATAATTTTAATTAGCTAAATAAATTTTTGTAATGATTTTCAACTTTATAGAAACTATTACCGATGCTCAACTGATGGATGTTTGGTAAAGAAAAGAGTGGAGAGAGATCACGAAGACCCCAGCTATTTGGTAACCACGTATGAAGGAATTCATAATCACACCAGCCCAGGGATTGTGTACTATGCCAAGCAAGATAGCGTGTCGGGCCGATTTCACTTATCTGGTTCATGGAGCTGTTAGTCGTATGATGAGGCGTCATCTTTCTTAAGTTTAGAGTAGGGTTTAGGGTTTTTACAATCAACATGAATGCATGTTCTTTTTTCCATGTTTTTACTGAGAAAGTTTTGACGGAGCTAGGGTTTTGGCTGAGCCTGAGCAGACTGGGTCGTTAGTCTTCGGTCGGTGCAGAAAACAAGATGTAATGTATCTTATGAAAGGCAACAAACTTGCCAGATTAGCAAGTTACTTGTAGTGTAATTAAGCTTATTTCTGCTGCATGCAGGTGGTTTGCATGAGTGTCCCTTATGAATATGGAAGTCAATTTAATTTTGAATCATGATGGCCGAAAGAATATATTAATGGCATGTTATATCTTTTCTGTTGGTGAAAACAACATTTCATTATCTTTTTATTAAAAGTTACGAGGCGAGTAAAATCACAAATAATCTCTCCCATTGCATGGTCTTTTTTTTTTTCCGTTTAACATATCATATTTTATTGTTATTTCCAGCCACAAATTTTATTACTTATTCTTTTTTTAGTTATTTAATAGATTTAATCCTGAACTAATGAACACATTAAATTATGAGAGGTGTCTCCAATGGGCCACGCACGCATCTACCAAGCACCGTAAACGATAGGGACAGAAGAATTCATAACATTGCTAACACACCAGAGACAACTCAGTCAAACTAGTGAGATGCGACGTGGCTTGGAATTAACTCATTAAAAAGATTGCAATGTTTGAAATACGGGGCATTAGCCAGTTTCACTGAGGCTTTCAGCTGTGATTAGGGACTTTCGGAACTCAAAGCAAAGCATCCTAACTCAAGGCTAGTGAAGGCCAAAACTTGGACCCACTGGACTTAGCTCTATATAGTTGTTGGCTGCAACTGCCTGTTGTTTTACTTCATGGTTAGTGCACTTCAGTTTTCTCAGGCAAAATCATCACCCAATTAATTAATTATGTAATTTTGTAGAAGCAACTTTTGATCTCATCTCCTTGTTTAGCAATTTCTGAAGTTTTATATTTGTTTGCAAGGTTTATTTGCTTAAACCCAACAATGCAAATTAGGATGATGCACGTATTCATTGTATTATTTTTTATTTTTTCCGTCAAATATCTTATTACATGACCAGATCAATTCGGCCCGAATGTCCATTCAAAGATAAGAAACTGAACAAACAAGGTGGGCCCGTAGCTAAGAATTGTCAGAGCCAATCGGGGGAGCCAAATCAGATCATTCAATAGTCGACACTCAAACTTGAAGGTCGTCCCAAAATACCAATTGGTCGTCCGCCTATATGACGAATTGACTGGCATCAATGTCGAACTGGCATAGGAACATCGGTGAAGCTAGACAAGAAGACCACATAACATCATAACGAGGTTCGTCTAGCTAAAAGACAAACGAATAGGAGCAAACCGAGTAAGTGAGCGATCACCCCATCCGTGAAAATTGAGTTTGTATGATGTATCATATAAATTATTTTAGTATCCCTAAGCTCTTTTGTATAGGAAGTTGGCAAAAATATAATTGTATATATAGGTTACCTCCCATACCTATAAATATGGAGCCCTTTCATGAAGAAAAAATCTAGATACTATTTTATACTATTGAGTCCCTTTTTTTGCTCATCTTACGTACTCTATTATTCCATGGGCGTGACTCTCAGACATTTTCGGGTTCAACACCCTAGGGTTGTGTGAGCCAAACTTAATGGTTGATTTTCTAGAAACGTACAACAATCACATATATGACCGAGAGGAAGACCAAAAGTTAGTCCTATATGACCGAGAGGAAGACCAAAAGTTAGACGTTGACATCTGAGTGCAACAAAAGCGACATGTGGATGAAAATTAAAGAGCCAAGGATAGCTCTCGCTTCCCTACTTGTATCCGCTATGATTATGTATGAAAAAGGGTGTCCAAAGCGCGATTGATACACCTAAAATATATAGTGTTTTTAGACATATTTTTATACCTATTTTTGAGAAATTGCGCTTTAATGGAAGATATTTTTGTATTTTTCTTGTAGATACAGGTAAAAATGGTGAAAAATGCTTCAAGGAGTGAAAAAGGATCAAATTTGGAGTAAGAAGGTGAAAAATGTGCAAATGACTTTTGGTGCCTAAGCGCCAGATCCGGCACTTAAGCGCCAGTTAAACAGAGAAGGTCGCGCCTAAGCACCAGAGATCTCGCGCTTAAGCGCTAGTGGCAGTTACTAGACAAGTAAAGTCGGTTTTCATGAATTTCAAAGAGGTTTTTGAGGCACTTATTGGCTTAATAGGTAGGTAGCTATAACCACCATGGACGAAAATTATCATTAAAGGATGCATCTCTTGGGAAAATACATCAAATCTAGACATATTTTGAAGAGTTTCCTAGGCACCTCTTGGAAAACTATAAAAGAAAAAAAAGAGGACTTTGAAAAGAGTCTTGAAAATACTTAGAAAGTTTTGAAAGTTCATCAATTTGGGGAGTTAGTTCGGAGAGATTTTCAGGCACCACTTTTACTTTTATTTTATCCTTTTTGTTAGTTTATTTTGAGTGATTGTAAAAAGAAGAGATTCAAAGGAACTTCAAAAGTTTGGTGGAGAACTTGAGATAAGTTTTTATCTTTTTGTTTTGAGACTACTTTTGGTTTTAATTGAGACTTGTTGTTGGTTTGATAATGATTTCTACTTTTAAACTAAAGTGTGGTTTTATTTTTTCCATGGATTATGAGTAGCTTTATTTATCCTTTTTCTGAAAATGATAAATAATTAAGTTTTGAATAGAAATTGTGGAGAGTATTGATCTTTAATGTTGGAAGAAGTTGTGATGATTTAAATTCATGCACTTCATTTACTTCTTAATTTGGTCAATCCAGATGTTAAAACTTGTTGTGAGAACATGAAACAACCGGGCCGGTATTGTCTCAGGCAACAACTAGAAATAATTATATGATGTTGTATGAATGAGAATGTAGTTCATGTCATTGAGTGCAAATAAATAGGAAAATATTCATTGAAAGGTGTAGAGTTAAAGGACTTTAAAGAGATAGGTTAAAACCCCCAACTTGGTTTATTGTTTTACGTTCAGATACGAGATGTTAGCCCCTATGTGGAGGAAATCGAGAGAACTCTAGAGTGAGAACTAGTATCTTCCCTACCTAGCCGGTCTTCAGAACTATTCAAACTTTAAATTAGCCAATGTTCTTTATAGCAACTCTAGTAAGGGTAAATAATGTTATTACTCCTATTTGGTATAACACAATTTGCATACTTCCACAACCGAACTCCTATACATTTTATTGATTCCTGATAAGAAGAAAGATATTTTTCTTATTAAGTGTTTTCATCTACAAAACTCTAGTTATCATCTACAAATTTTCATCTACAAAACTCTAGTTATCTTTTTAAGTTGTTACTATTTTGTCAAAATATTAAAAATACAAAAAGTATTTGAATTTTTATCACGGTAAAATATATTCAGTTTAAGTAATTACGTTTTCTAAAAGTGCATATTGTATAAATTCCCTATGGCTTTGATGTTCAGGTCTTAATAAAAAAGTCTTATATTACTTGATAATAATACGTATACTTGTGTAATATCCCAATATATATAAATTAAATGTTAAATTCTTATTTTTCTTCAGGATCAAGTTTTTTATTTTGTTGTAAAGCAAGGAAATATAAGTGAAATATAATCTGAATTATTGTTGTACTTTGCATAATAACATTAACAAGAGGGATCAAGTTTTTGGCGTCATTTCTGAGGAATAAAAAGCAAATTTTCTATTTTTAGAATGTCTTATTTAAACTTTAAGTATTATATCTTATTTTTTGTGTGTGTTTTGAATTTTATTTAATTTTATTTTATGATAATGTATGCATAGTTTAGGTTCTGAAGGACTGGTGCCCTACGATTCTGAATTAGAAAAACTATTAGAAAAATCAAAAAAACCAAAAAAAAAATATAAATTTTGAAAAATCCAAAAAAATTATAGGAATGGCAGACCAAAATAATCAAAATGCTGAAATTCATCAAGAGTTTAAACCTTTAAGAGATTATGTCAACCTTACTGTAGATGAACTTCATTGTAGTATTCAAAAAGCTACAGTAGTAACTAATTCATTTAAGCTTAAACCTGTTATTATCCAAATGGTATCAAATAATCAGTTTGGGGGATCATAAACTGAAGATCCAAATTTACATCTTCCAAATTTTCTAGAATTATGTGCTACATGTAAATACGATGGTGTATCAGATGATGTCATAAGACTTAGGTTATTTCTTTTTTCATTGAGGGATAAAGCTAAGATAAAGCTAAATTCATTAGGACATGGATCTTTCAGAACTTGGGGTGATTTAGCACAAAAATTCCTTGCTAAATATTTTCCACCATAAAAAACTGCGAAGCTTAGAAATGATATTACATCTTTTAATTAGTTTGAAGGGGAATCTATTTATGAAGCATGGGAAAGATTTAAAGAACTCTTAAGAAAGAGTCCATATCATGCCATGCCAGATTAGTTAATAATTCAAACTTTTTTATAATGGATTAGTTGGATCTCTTAGATCAATTTTTGATGTTCGTTGTTGGTGGGTCATTGATGTCAAAACCATTTCATGATGCTTATGTTTTAATTGAATAAATGTCTGCTAATAATTTTCAATGGTCTTCTGAGAGGGTAAATCCTAAGAAAGTTTTCAATATTCATTAAACTAATGCATTTACCATGTCAGCAAATCAAGTTGCTGCAATTTTAAGGAAGTTAGACAAATTTGGAATGAATTTTTCTCAACCAATTTCCAGGATCGAAGAGAATTCATTAGGCCAAATGGTATATTCTCAAGTATCATTAGAAACTTTGAATGCCATAAATAAGAAACAAAATAACCCATATTAAAATTATTATAACCCAGGTTAGAAGAACCATCCTAACTATAACTAGAATAACAATTCAGGTGGTAATAATCAGCAATGGTGGAACAACCAAGGAAACCCATTGGAAAATTGGAACAACCAAAGGAATAATAATTATAGATCTACTTATCCTCCAGGTTAAAACAACAATACACAGTTTAAGGAGAAGAAGTTTTCTATAGAAAAATTGGTGTTACAAATGGGGAATCAATTACAAATTCAAGGAGCTACAATTAGAAATATCGAGAATCAACTTCGGCAAATAACAAATTCATTAAGTAATAGATCCCTGTCGGCATTATTTCGGGGATGGTTTGGTTGTGGGGTTGCCCGTAAGAAGCTGTCGGTCACCGGAATAGAAATCTCGTCGCCCGCTTCGGAAGAACGTTGAAGTATGAAATCAAACTGACCCCATATTTTTCATAGTTTAAAATGAAAGAGCACTGTACCACAAATCCCGTATCTA